TGGCAAAGGGAAAAGAGCAAGGAGGGCAGGGAAAGCCCAATGGGAGACAGGGCAGCCAGGTACTTGTGGTAATCAAACTGTTTAATCTGTTTTAAAATGGGAGATTTTAGTGCCTTCACATAACCACACCTGCAATTCAAAAGCTTCCCCACACTTAGACGTCTTTGAGAACAAATGTGAGGACATTTGGGCTACAGAAAGTGTTACAAGCCCTCTGGACTCGTTTTACAGAGACATTGTTACAAAACCGACCAGTTCCTCCTCAGGAGACCTTTCAAAGCCTCCTGCCTGAGTTTTGCCGAGCGCTTTTTGTTTCAGCCCTGCCTGGTGCAGCAGCTTTGTCACACGCTGCAGTGTCATAAACAGGCAGAGGCCACGTGTGCTCTGCCGGGAAGAAAAACTGGATGCTCTGCACATCCCAGGAGCTCCAACCTCTCCTTAGGGAAATTCCTTTTGCTTCTCTCTGCCATGAAGTTGGTTGTACACCCAGCAAAAATCCTGTGCTCCGTGCAGGTGAAGGCACGTTGCAGGAAGTTGCACTGTCTGCAGCACACAGACTAGAGGCTGAATATCTGCTTCACCTGCAGCTCCCTGTTTTATATTCCATTAGAAAAATTAATGGAATATTCACCTTGCATTTTGTAATTATTTTTTAGACTAATTTCGGAACTTAATGCAGTCTGAAAGCAGTAATAAAGAACAAAAGAAATCTCAAAACCGTCTGAATGTCTCTAGTCTCATGATTTTCCATTGCCAGCAATACTTTAACTTTTATTAAACATGCCAAGCCAAATTTACTCTATTTAAAATTACTTATGTTAGGCTATCAGATGCTTGCAGTAAATTATTAACAGCAGAAGATGGAGCTGGGATAAACCAAGCCCATTCTGGCAAGGGAACTTTCAGAGGTAGAGGGGGTCTGGAATTAAAGGGTTTCTATGCCTGTTCTTAATATAGATGAAATGCAGAAATATTATTAATTTTATTTTTTCTCCGGGATTTACCATGTTAGAGTATCATCCCTTTCTCTTTCACGCTCTTATTAAATGACAAAAAAAATAAATCAACTATTCAGTCCATATTTTGGGAATGCTTTGTCTGGGGTTTCATGCTATTGCTTCCTGTATCATGGAAGTAATATCAAATTGAAAATATTTCTGTTCAGCAACTTCAGCAGCTCTAAATTAAGAGAATCTGTAGTTTATTGGCTTTCAATGCTTGAGCAGGTTAAGAATGTGTAAGCAAGAAAGATTCCATTTAGAAAGAGAAGTGCAACGTCCATGATGCCAACAGAGACATTAAGAGAGATTAGGCCATCTTCATAAACTACTTTTCAGACACTAGATTATCAAAAATAATGAATGCCACTAATTAAGGGAGACAATTTTTGAAATAAAGAAAATTCATTTTTAACCCAGTAACAGCTCATGGAGATAGAATTGTAAGATAACCAGTAAAACAGTTTTTACACTGTTGTACCAAAAAGGCATCAACCACCCCTTGCTGCAGAGCAGGTGGCCTTTAGGTCACACTCTACACGTGGCAGAACTGTCACAAATTGGGGAAAAAAATGTGGTTTGAGGAAGATTTTCTTTCTGTGACAGGAATGGTGATCTGTCTCTCCCACTTGTGTTGCCAGTTTTTACAGATCATGATTAAAATCTGACTAATACGTTTAATTTTTAATGTGCGCGAGTGGGTTCAATTTGAATTTTGAAATCTCATTTCCATGGTTTTAGAAGAGATTAACAACTTCTGAACGAAAAGGTACAAGAAACAGAGATGCTTTCAATTTTGGTGGTGTTTTAGTTACTTGGAAATTTCTCTGGTGAGGGATGACATCACCCTCGTGTCACCTTACTGTGAATTCCCTGGAGGTTTGCTGTGGTTCTCAGATCTCCAAAGCACAACCTGCTCCTGGAAGTTTAGCCAAAGCATCTACAGGGATAATTTAGCTCTGCACACTCCATTTTCAGTTCATGCAGTCATTCAGCTGAAGTGGGCTCTGCAGAGGTGCTTGAGAAGTGCTCTGCAGCACAGAAGTGATCCAAGCAGAGCCGTGATCCGGAGCACGATCCGCCTGCACAAGAGCTGGATTCAGGGATTTTCCCCCCAAAAAGGCAGCTGTCAGTAAAGAGCCAGCCTTGCCATCGAGGCACAGAGAGGTTGGTGTCAGGAAAACGGTGGTGATTCATCCCTACTCAGGACCCCAAGTGTATTTAAACTTCATTCAACCACTCTGTTCACATTCACCTTGAGCTCAGGGCTTCGTTTCAGGGGGAAATGCAAGAAAATGCAGGTAGAAAGTTGAATATTCAGAGTCATCATGAGAGAGATGAATCACTTCACAGTGTGAACGATAAAATGAAAAAGAAACCCCAACCAATCTATATTAAAACTAAAGCCAGAAAATAGCATTTTAAGACTTTTCAAGACAGAACACAAAGAATAACCTAGAATTTCCAAAGCATAGGTAAATATGAACCAATTACTTATTATTTCATTAAAGTGGAGATGGGAAGGGCCAATTCCTAACTCTCAGCGTTTGCCTCCTGGGGTCCTAGATAGCTTTTCCTGTCAAATTAAAACAGGAAAAAAAGAAAAGATAAATAAACATGAGAAATTAAGATTCTCTAGGCACGTGAAGGAGAAAGGAAAAGAAACAAGGAAATAATGTTCCACAATTATTACCAGAGCTAAGAGAAACAAAATTACCTGATCATAAATTCCGGATAATCTGGTTTTCTTTATGAGTTTCCATTTTATTAATGAAAGGAAGGTAACACCTTAGTGTACCCGGATGAATTAAAATGCCTATTTGGAGGAGCAATCCTCCATAGGGGTCTCTAATAGAATCTGTGAACCATTCTGGAGTCAGATAATTTAGCTGTAAAAAGGCAATATTAATAGCTCACCCCTCAGTACACAGACCAGGCTGGACAGAAGGAGGCAATATTGGCATGAAAGGCTGTGGGGATTATTTGCATTATCAGAACTTTCTGCAGCCATGAGGCTTCACACACAAGGAGCCCTTAAAAAGGGGGCAAAGTTGCCAAGCACCGAATCTATAAATTGTCCATCTTCTCTTGAAACAAAGTTTCCATAAGTTTCTACAGTCTTTGTCCTAGAAAATGTGTGTACATCAGAAATGTAACAGATCTTAATGATGTATCATACTGAAAAATGTTTACTTCCCGAATTTAAAGAGGGTTTTCTCATTAATTTTTAACCAATTGAAAGAGAATATATGAAATATCTAAACCATCTTCTCTCGGTTATTTTGGACAAATCTGACAAAGATACTGCTCATGAAAATTCCAATCAGATCCTATTAACTGCAGCTCAATTCCAAACGTGGCAGAAAAATCTCTGTGAACAGAAATATGATGAGAAAAAAATAGAGAAGAAACAGTTCATCCCACGTATGGGTACCTGCTCCTGTCCTCACCAGGAAATGGGATCATTCCAGACTTCAGAAAATCGGGGGGGTTGTTATTTGGGGTTTGAAACGGTACCAGCGCTCTCTTTTCAGGGAAGAGATTTGCAAAAGGCAGACATTTTCTCTACGACAGCCCCTGGCAATCCTCATGTTCCACAAAGATCAAAATGGTGCTGAAGAACCACAAACCCACGTGTTTACTGAGGAACTGTAAGAAAAGTTGCTTGGAAAGTTTCACCAGAAACTAAAGAAAACGGACTTTTTCAACTCAGTCCAGTTGGTTTTGATGAAGAAAGCAAGACTGGAAAAAAAGTATTATCAAACCTATAAATATTCAAGCCTGCCAATTTTTTCTGTTCTATATAGGAGTAGTTCTGATTCATCCCCCTCACACCCATTCCTCATCTACAGACGTTCTCCAATAAGATTTAATCTTCCATGCTGAAACTGGCCATTTCTACTTAGTAAAGAATTAAAAAAAAAAAAAAAAAAAAAGAACAAAATAGAAAAATAAAAAGATACAGAGCAAGAGCACAAGAGCTCACACCTAAATATTCAAGACAGCACTGAGGGAAAGCACATGAGGGAAAGAATCATCACCACACACAAGCCCAAAAAACTTGTGGGAGATCTTTCATTTACACTACTGGAATTTCTTATTTCATAAATTTTACTCATCTTCACCACAGGAAAAAACTAAAAATCTCCTCAGTATCAGTCTAGTAGAAACAAAAATGAACCAAATTTGGCAGATTACGACAAAGGTAATTTTCTTCTACGAGAAAGGTGAACGGGACTAACAAGGCCTAATCCACACAGAAATTACCTTCAGGAAAATCTCTTACTGGGGTGTTCAAACACACACATTGCAGTGCAACCAGTGAAATGTGCCCGCCTGCTCTTCCCTGGTGAGACCCCACCTGCAGTCCTGTGTCCAGCTCTGGGGTCCTCAGCACTGGAAAGGCTTGGAGCTGTTGGAGAGAGTCCTGAGGAGGCCACGGAGATGCTGCGAGGGCTGGAGCCCCTCTGCTCCGGAGCCAGGCCGGGAGAGCTGGAGAACAGAAGGCTCTGGGGAGGCCTCAGAGCCCCTTCCCGTGCCTGAAGGGAATTCATTAAAAAGAGGGAAAGCAACTTGTTACACAGGCAAAGATAGGAGAAAGGGGAGTGGTTTTAAAATAAAAAAGGGGAGATTCAGATGAGATGCGAGGAGGAAATTCTCCCCTGTGAGGGTGGTGAGGCCCTGGCACAGCTTACCCGGAGAAGCTGCGGCTGCCCCATCCCTGGCGGTGTCCAAGGCCAGGTGTTGGACAGCAGATGGGTACTGTTGGCTCAGAACCACCTCGTGTGTGTGTGTGTGTGTGTGTTTGTGTGTGTGTGTGTTTGTTTGTGTGTGTGTAGGGGCAGGGCCGGGCGGTCCCTCCCGGCGCTGAGGCGGCTCCGTGTCCCTCACGGCCGCCCCTGGAGCGCACCCGGGGCAGCCCCGGAGCAGCCGCGGGGCAAAGGCGGCGACAAAACCTGACGGGCAGGGCGGGGACGTTTGGCCTGGAGGGGGGGCCCTTCTGAACGCTGCCCGAGTCCCACTGTTTTCTCCCCTAAACTATCTCTAAAAGGGCCTCTTGGGAACAACTCTGTGGCTTACTCCCTAGGCACTATCTCGAGGCGTTAAAGAACCCGGTATGCATTTTTAAGTAAAACTCCGCGCTGAGCCCGTGAGCTTGTTGGCACCAAGGCAGCCTGGTGGAAGGTGTCCCTGCCCATGGCAGGAGATGGGACAAGATGATCTTTAAGGTCCTTCTAACCCAAACCGTTCCGTGATTCTAATAAATTCCAACGTACAGGTTATAGGGAGCTACTATCAAGTTGCAACATGATGGATCCATTATCATGAATAGACAGGTAAGCAATAAGTCTATGCCTTTTTTCTTTCCTCTTTATTTTAATATCTATTCAACCTTGTTATTGGGCTATTATATTTTGCTGTTGCAATTTAAACCTTTTATCAGAAATAAATCTTTGAGTCCTATTATCTTGTAACAATCCTGTAGGGACAGGCATCTCAAAAAGCTGAGAGATAAAAATGAGAACGAAAAGAGCCTTTTTTGCCGGCCGCTATTAAAGTTTTCACACTGCTCCATTACAGCTATAAAATAGTGGTTTTATAATAATTCATTACTATTCTGTAATACACAAGGAATATGTTGTGCTGTATTAATCAACAGTTCTGTTTTGCTAACTTATTAAAATCATTCACTTGAAGTTGCATATTATTTTCGTGCCATCTTGTAGCTGATTTACAATGACTTAAAGTTTATGGATAGTTTCTCATTCGCCTCATGAAATTTTCAAATCCTGTTGATTCTTTCTTAAATCTGCTCTTAGTCAATATTTATCATTAACCTACTAGTGGAAAACACTTGACGCCTTTTAAGCGGTCACTGGCTTTGGGGGTTTTTTTGAAGGTAACGCTCCAAAAAAGAGGAATTTGGGGCAGAAATAAAAGGAATGAATGAAACCGGTTGTGAAATCTGGCGGAAACCTGCAGAATTGCAGAAACATGAGGAATCTGTTTCTCCCTGAGCCAGCATCAATGATTCATTAGCCACTTGCTAAAACTCAATAATCAGTTCATGATTTGCTGAGTTCAACCATTATGAAAACAATACACAGAATCAGTAAATAATGGCCTCTGATGAATCTGCTGTACCGTGTTCCTTTTGGAAGGAGAACAATAGAAAGATCCAGAATAAAAGTAGAAAAGGGAAGCAAATGAACCCAGTAAATCATATGGAAGCCTAACTTTGTACTGTATATCTGAATTTACTCTGCACATCCAACTTCTTTATAAGCCCAACATACCAAGTTGTCTGAAAATGGGTTCGTTTTCAAACCCTAAATTTCAGATTTTGCTGTAACACACTGAAAAGCAATAGTGTGGAGGTTTTTTGGGGGGGAAGATTGTTCCTTTTAATTTTTTTTAGCATGTTCTGCAGTCAGAAAATTCTCTCAGAATGTTGAGCACCAATGGCAGAATTATTTTTCACATGCAGCAATATGTTCTCACTGTCATGTCTCAGAAGAAATCCCTTGGGGCTCGAGATCTGTGCGTGTAATACCCACATAGAAAATTAAGCCTCAATTGACTCCTTAAAAAAACACCGAACAAATCCCACCTCTAAGAATATCTAAGCATTGTTTTTTAACGATGATTAACGAGATCCTCTTTAGAGTTCTAATATTAGTTACACACATTTATGGCAAAGCTAAATTTGATATAGCCAGGGATTTCTTTAAAATGCTGGACTGGAAGATAATGAGTTTCACAAATTTCTCCAGCACTCAGGAGAATGCAGGATCTTCACAAATCTCAGCACCAACACATCTTTCTTCCTCTGAATTGAAACCCTTGCTGCCTCTGTTTTTTAAGTTTTTAAACATGGAGGTTTGCTTCTGTGAATGGGGCTCCAAAGGAAAGGAAAAAAAACCCCTTCAGTCCTGTCCAGCATGTATTTTGAAAAATTTAGCTTCCCTGAGGTCTTAACAAAAGGAAATTGTACTTTGTGGGAAGAGGTGATTAATCTGAGACGCTCCAATGATGAAAAGGATGCTCAACAGGTCCGAGCCTTTCGAAGGGAGGGTCTCACTCATCTTTGCCAAGGTGTGGTTCATGAAGCATCTTTCGCTCTTGACATAGCAGAGGGCACCTCGGAATAATGCAGCCTCTCTCCAGGGAACAAAATGCATTTCCAAGCCTTTTCTTTACCAGGTTAACATTTGACAAGCTTGCTTTAATGCCCTCATTCTCCCCAAGTGTCTCAGATGAGGAGGACAGAAAAAGTTTGCGGCAGAGAAGGACAGAAGGAAAAGGAATTCAAGATTTTTCAAAACAGGTGCCAAGAAGCAGACTTTCTTTCCTTGCTGCAGACAGCAGGTAATGAGTATAAATGGATGTACTGGGGATTATTCTAGAAGCTTGGGCCAAAGAAAATGAGGTTTGCTCAGCTTTTATACACAAAGACAGACAAAATCTTCTGAATTCTTATCGTTTAAGTGTATGGGCTGAAAACTGAGTAAAGCTTAAATCCTCCACAGAGCCAACAGAAGGTGATTAGTCCAACATCAACAATGCATTAATTTTCCTACTACTGAATTATTATTTACATAGCACAGACGTGCACAACCCCTATCAGGGAAATAAAAGTGCAGCCCCTGTCCAGAAGATCTGCTGTCCTGAGTTCATCCTAACGTCGATACAAATAATGGAGCACACTTTTGCTCTCTAAAATGGCAGTCAAAGCAAATTGGGCATTCTGAGCTGGGCTCTGGCAGCCTTTTGTATTGCTTTCATTAGAGTGTCAGACTCTAAAAAAAAATAATGTGACAAAGGCAGGGTGGCTGGCGAGCTGGCAATCATACAACGTGCAGAGATCTGAGCCCTTCTGTAATGATCATACGTGATTTACAGAATCAAAGGGTCAAATCCTGCCCTCAATTACGCACCTATTGCGAGGTGGGACACCACCACGTGGCATGGGAATTAGAGAGATTATTGTGTTTCTGAAGAGACAGAAAAATGCTCCCTGGCCTTCAAAGTAAGAAATTCAGTGTTGATCCTGTATTAAATAACAACATATAAATGTACCAAAATATCGGGGCATCTTCAGGGCATTTTTTTTTAATGGAGGTATTTTGGGGGAGCAATAGAACTGCTGCAGGCTCTGGTCTAATATTCTGGGTTTCTTGTCTAATATTGTCCACAGATCAAACTCTGGAAAAGAAGAAACTGGCCTTCTTTTAGCCTGTTTGAATGCTGAGGCATTGGCTGAGTTTGGCACCAGTTCCCCATCCCTGCTATATCCCAACTATCCCTCCAGTGCTGTCATGGGAAAAGTGTTTCTGCAAATGCTCATTTCTGGTATGTCTCTTCACTAATTCCCACACATTCTACAGAAGGAATATGCAATTTATTCCTCAGATGCACAAGTTACTTGATTTCAACTGCTGGTTTCTGCTTTTGGTTGTATGGTCACTACCCTGTAAGCCCAAACTCGCTGAATTGTGGAGTTTCTCAGGATTTCATTCACCTGGCAGGTGCTCTAAGGAACTGAAAGGCAGCAAAACTGAAATGTCAGCTGGACAGGGGCATTTCTGTGACCCTTTTTGTGGAAACACATGACCAAGAGAAGATTCCTCTTGGCTTTTGTTTTTCCTCCACACCCACCTGCATTTGGTTCTGACCTGTGTTGCAACATTTGGGAAAACAGCACCTGAAGAGAAGGCAACTCTAACAGACAGATACACAGATTTTCACCTTAATTGCATGGTCTTAGGGCTTCAAAAAGTGTTTCAGAATCATCAGTGTATTATAACATTTTTTCTGAACTGCAGTTAATATTTATTGTATGGATTCTTCGGCTTTCCAAAGTAACAATATTGGTGTCATTAAATAGATTTTTTGACCCAGAGCTGGAAATAAATTCTAACTTTCCATTCAGGCAGAACACACAGATGCAAAGTTAGGGAGAGTTGTGAAAGAAATCTAACCAACAAATGGACCTCAAACAGGAGGAAACACTGGAAAAGGAAATTAAAGAAGGACTGTTAAAGAACAGTTCCAATGATTTGGATGTACCACAGGAACATCCTTGTCCCAACCACTGTATATGGAAGAAACTACACCGTGATCTCTGTGGTAGGCACTGTGCTTCCATGTCATTTTAAAGGAACAGAATTTTCTGGATCTTCCCCTTCTTAGTTAATAGCCAGGCACACCCTCACCCAAACCATATGTTAATAACTTCAGACCACAAATTTAATTTCTCTCAGCTTTCCACCTGACATCACTCCCGGTCACGTGGCGCGGACCCATCCGTAAACAAAACGGGGATTCATTTCCATAGCAACAGCCAGGGGGACTTTGATCAGCTCCAATGATTATTTGTAGGCACACAGATACCAAACCCCTAAGTGAGGGCTGATTACCTTGTTTTTTGAAATGCAGGCAGCTCAGTTGGTTTATATGGATGAGGTAGAGGCACTCAAAGCTCCCTGTGAAAGGCAAAGGAAGCCACTGGTCATTAGCCCGGTGTCCCTTCCAGTTCCTTGGGAATCTGTACATTCCTAATGCCTCTAATGTGATGTGTGTGTCCTGTGACCAATAAAGTGTGTTCTTCGTGCTCCCTGGCAGATGTGCAGGTGTTTTTGGGGCTGGCTCTGTGTGGGATGAGGAGAGGTGGGAGCCTGTGGCTTGACAGGAAAAAAAAAAAAAAGAGGAAGAAAAAGAATCTGAACAATGTGTTGAAAAAGACTCGTCAGAGCTGCTCAGGACCAGCTGTTTTTTTCTAATTAGAATAACAAAAATAGCACATGCTAAAATGTTTTTTGGTTTTTTTCTCAAAAGCCATGAATGCTTTTAGGAACTATAAGGAAAGAGCTCTAAAACCTATTTAAATGAAGGAATGTTTCAGGAGCCATATGGAGAAGAAAAAGAAAAGGCGAAAGTAGAGAAATGTTTTATTTTTAGCTAAATCTGAAGCATTTCGATTCTTCATCCAATGTTACACAGAAATTGTCTTACTTCTAAACTTCCAAAAATGTCAGTGCTGATGCTTATTGTATCATGGCTTAAAGGAGACATTTAAAATACTCAGTGCCTTTCAGTGGGGTGTTCTTCCAGGCATTGGAAATTTGAAAATTCCATTCCGTGCCCTGAACATGCATTGAGATATATTCCTAAGATCTGTCTGTGCTCTGGTAATGTATGAGAGCTGCACATAATGAAGGATGTGACAAACACTCAAAACACACCCTGTATCATCAGTCTTTGCTCCTCTTTTTTATTCTTTTTTTTCCCCCCCCTTTTCCTGAAGCGCTGATGATTCAAAACTTTGACTATAGGAATAACATTTGTAACAGCTCTGGCATTCTGGACATCTGCACTGCTCGAGTACTTCAGAATAAAGTCACATGGCCATGGGGAAATTTCACAGAATTCAAATCACAGGGACTTGCCAAGGTGTATAACGAGTTTGTTTTCAGCTGTTCTCCTCATGAATAATTACCAGGCAGGCATATCCTAAAGCGAGCACAAGCTGTCATTTCACCCGAAATATTCAATATTTAAAACAGAATTTCGAATTTAGAATTTCATAAATGAAAATAATTAACAGCCCAGGCAAAACAGCCCAGTCCAAGTGCTGTCAGGTACCTCCTGCCTTTCCAGGAGGCTTCCCAGGACCAGCACGTTGGAGCCACATTAAATTATTTTTGCAACGTAAAGAAAATTATGCAAATGTAAAGGGAATTGCAAGTATCTTTTTTTTCCCCCCCCCAGAACTAATACTTTGCTATCATTTTACTGACTGTTCCTTTACTGAGCACAGAAAGGGAAAACACAGTAGGATCCCAAGGCTTCCATCTGTTTTAGTCCCTTTGGATCAAAGCTGCTCGTGGGTTCTTTTCCACCACCATACACAGGAGCCAACAGCAGTGCAGAGCTGGACAGGAAGGATGAGAGGTGGGATAAGATGCAAGGGATGGGATGCACTTGACCTCAAAGCCTTCCTTAGACCCTTTACTCCCATGCAGGTCCCTAACTGGAAGCTCAGACCTGTGTTGTTCCTTTGGGAGAAGTTGGGAAGGACTCCTGGCACGGGGAGGAGGGACCATGGAAACATGAGCAGCTCCAAGGAATCAGGGGCTCACTGCCCCTCCAACAGCTTCCAGATCAGCTGTGACCTCTCTGTTATTCCAGCAAATATCTGCTCACATCTCTGGGTTTTCTGCTTTTGCATCCCAGAGGGGATGAAAAAAGGGGAGACTGGGAGCCAAGAGAAAAGCACCCTCGCCTTTCACACAGGGCTTCACGTTGGCACGTTATTGTAACGTTATGAAAATCTTTATTGGAGCTTGAATAATGCCCTGAAATAGATATTGTGCTGGTTAATAAATTACATTTTCAAATGAGAGAGATTTTATCACCAAAACATCTCATGATTAATTTCTAATGTGAAGCTTATGGCCCGAACTTAAAACATTGGATTTCGCGTTTGTGTTCAAAGGTTGAGCACTCAGGAAAGTTTTTATAAGAAACTCGCTGTATTTTCTTCCCCATATTGAAAAAAAAAAAATCACTAACCTGTTAATCTACTATAACTTCATAACCTCAATTACAGCTCTTGAGATGAAGGTGATTAAAAATAAGTATTTTCCCCCACTTTCAAAGAGCAGGTCACACCTTCCAGAGAAATCCTGTTTCAAATTTTTCAACGATACATTAAGGGCAATAATTAGAATTGGTCAGAAATATTCCATAAGAGATGTTTCCTATTTTTCAACCAGTTCTAGCTGTAACTACTTGGAGTTAAGTAGTAGTGTTGTAGTAAATAGAGTTATTTCCATAGGAAGCAAGAGGAGATAATATAGAACTGGATGTATCATGAGAAAGAGCCAAGGTATTCAAATCAGGAATTCCCAGCTCCCAAACTTAAGGATGGACCATGAGGCCAAACTTCTGCTCTAATGAAGCTTTTTAAAATTAATAATTTCTGTTAATCAGCCTTTTCCTGAACTTGTCCCACTGCTCAGATTTGTGGCCCAGCATTTCTTGATGTGTTTGACTGATTTGCTGTTGTTGCTCATGGGCAGCCCATGGTCCATCTAAACACACTCTCAAATGACCAAATGAATCAATCAATAAGGGGAGAAATAATCAATAAACAAGGGCACCAGGCAAGGCTGCAACTCAGTTTCTCCATTTTTCTGGACCTGTTCAAGTCTTGAGGATTAAGATCTAAGTTTTTAATTGATTATTTCCAAGATCTCCATGGCATTGCAAATATGCTGATACATTTGGCATTCATGTTGTTAATATCCTCAAGAAATTAATAAAAATTTTGCTTTTCTAACTAGTAGCCAAACAATAATCAAATACTGTATTATTCACAAAGAGTTGGAAAAATGAGCATAAAAGAAACAAAAATACTCCCAGTTCAGATTATTTAATCCTACCATTTACCAGAATGTGTGTTTTAATTCCCAGCACAGACATTATTCCAGACTAATGATTTAAAAGACCCTTCTTTAGTGAGAGGACAGGTTTGGTTGTGTTATTTCCCAAGCACATTTTGGGTTAGTGGGAAAACACAGGAGCTCTGAACTGGGGTAGGCAAAGGCCACCATGGGGGCTGCTCAGAGTCTTGGGCCTGGTGCTGGAATTTCATTAAAAATACACTTATTTGTGCATTTGGTGGCATTATCACTCCTGCATCAAAATCTCTCTTTGTTTTGCTTTGTTTTGGAGTTCTTTTCTGGCAACTAAATAAACTGTTGCTGTGAAAAACACTGCACCTTGCTGTGATCCTAAAATGTGGAGAAAAATGAGAAACGTTCTCCCAAGTCCCCCTTGTCAATCCCAGCTTTCTGCTGGTTTTCCTTTTTTCCTGCAGTACTTCTCCAAATTGTGTTTGTGGCTGATATTTCCTACCCTGCCTTCCTCCCATGGGGAGCTGGAGCTCCACCTTCTCCTCTTCCCATTTGCAATCCATTTGAATAACTTTGGCTTCACCAACAAATAAGAATTTCGCCATTGTCTTTGGGGGAACCAGAAGAGATTTTCAGAGAGCTGAGCTGTACAGGTTTTTTTGTCTCATTTTAATCAGGATGTTGGTTGCACAATTCAATCCTGATTGTGTAATCAGAAAGCAAGAAGAAACAGCACACAAATGAATTACTATGGAAAAATTGTCCTCATAATGGGGTCATGAAGCATAGAGATATACATTTATAATGCTCTGTCAAATTACATTATGCAAGGAAATAAATTATGTTAAGAGAAAGTATGTTTTAATTACAGGCACAATACTTCTTCAAATTGGGGAAAAATTGCTAACCCCTTTATTATTATTATTATTATTATTATTATTTATTATTATTATTAATTTAGCATCAATATGCACAGAAGGACTTGCACAGGGCAGACATCCCCTGCTGTCAAGGAGTGTGTGTGTGTGCACATGCACAAAATTTAGGGCTGTAACATTTTCCTGTTAATATTTTTCCTGCACTTTTTCCCTGTGTGAAATAAAGGCACCTAAACAGTAAGACAAGAGTAGTTTGTTGCCATGCACATGACAGCAGTTCTCCTGTGCTCTCACTAAGTGTGCTGCAGATAAAGTGGATTATTTCAATTACAGAAGATAGAATGCAAGATTAAAAAAAAGAATAAGGTTTGGGGTTTTGGGTTTTTTTAGTTTTGTTTTTTTAATCCAAACAAGCATTTAAAGAACAGCATCCTGGGGAGAAAGAGGGTTTTGTTAGGGCACAGAATTCACCTTATAATTGCAAATGGAGTTTGAATAAAGGCAAACTTTTTATAATCCATTATAAAGAATGGCATAATATCACAGGTGTTTGCCAGGCCTGTCTGTGAGATAAATTTAGAGATGATATCAATCTTTTAAAACCTTTATTTGTCCATATTTTTCCTGGTTTGCCCACAAATCAAACAATAGTTGCTCCAAGTGCTGGGTATAAAACAGAGGTGATATTTTACACACAGAATTAACCACAAACAACTACCAAAAAAAGTCCCAGCTACCCAGGCAAAAGGTTTGTCCCTCTTCCCAGCCCCAGTTTTCTGGGATAACAGCAAAAGCAGCTTTGGAAATGCACGGAATGAGAAGCCTGGAAAATATTCAGCCTTTGCTTCAGCAGTGCTGTGAAGACCCTGAGTACAAGAGGAGGAGGAAAACACATGGGAAAGGGGAAGTTTGGTCATGCACTTCTCTACCTCAAATTTAATTTTACTTGTTAAACTGTTGCTTAAAAGAGAATTTAAAATCCCTGCCAGGTGTCAGAACGTCTCCCCTGCTCACCCAAAGGGTGTCTGAATGCACTAAAGCATCTTTCTTACCACAAGGTGGCATCTTCTTATTTTTATATAAAACATCTGAATATTTACATAATTTGAATAATTTTCTCCACCTGAACGTTTCTCATCCCTCTTTTTGTGACAGCCATTTAACATCTGTGCAGATGCCCAGCAGTGATGTCAGACTTCACCTCCCAAACGCTCCTGGAAGTGGCTGTGGCTGCTTTCCAGGGACCTTTTCACATACATCACACATGGACTGAATCCCCTCCCCAAACCAAGACTTCAGGAACACACAAATACTCCTTGAAAATTCTGGGGCAAGGGAAATTAAGAATTTACAGCAATGTGTTCAAAATGCTGAGCTTTCACCCCCAAACTCCAGTT